CTTTTATAACATATAATTAAGTAATTAATTTTACTTCACATAAATTATAAAGATAAGATTCAGCAGGATAGGCTATGCAGTGGATATTGCTGGAATGTTGGACTGAACTAGCAGATAGGAGAAAACCCGTTTTTGTTTCTGTCAGTTTCTGTGTCTTTCACGTAAACACGATTTGAGGATTTAAAAAAAATCTCCCATTGCATTGATCTGCTTTTAACATTTAGGTGAAAGACAGAATTGCACAGACTGGGAAAGACAGAGACACACGGATCTGGCAGTCCTGCCATAGAGCCTATTCGACCATGCACGAAGCCACCAGGACAGGCAGGCGAGAGACCACATTCTGTCTAAGAACTGGCAGAACACTTTATGGCTGCTCTCAGTGCATGGAGGGATAAACCGCATGGTGAGGAGCTGTCACAGGCATTGTCTCACCTGCCTGCCTCTCCTGCTGGAGGAAGACACAAGCCCATTCCTCCTCCATCTCCCTAGTTTCAGCTGAGCCCAGGATGTTTGTCTTTGCCTCACCTTAGTGTGCAGTCACGGGGCATAAACTGCTCACTGCCTTAGGGTCTGGAAGTGGGCTTCTCACTGGCATAGCCAACCACTAGCTGTGCTATCACTGAGCACCACTGATCTAGTGTGAATCTGTGTGGTTGGGGGCACAGCTGACACCGTGCTGATCTTGCTTGTGTGAGTCTTCAAACAATAAACTATTGGGTTCCCTTGGGCTCACTGCCTTCCTACTGGCTGAATCTATGCAAGTTTTGCAAGCTTAACAAGCCAACTCAACTGCGCTAGTAATATTTCCTATGGTCGTACAGGGACATTGGTCTACTTCACTGACAAACTCTGGTGTTGTGTGGTGCTGCATGAATAGTCAGTTAGGTTTCCTGAAATCCCATAGAGCCTGCTTTTCAGTGTGACATTTGGTTGGCTTGCCATTCCTTAGTTATTTACAAAGCAATTTTACAAACATTGTCATATCTAGAACCAGTTAAGTGGCTATTTAATTCACACATTGATGTTTTTTGAATTCAAGTTTATGTACAAGTTAACGACATACTCCTGACTGAAATTCCAAAGTGGTATCATGGGGCCAGTGCTGTGGCATAGCGGATAAAGCTGCAACTTGTAGTGCCCGCAACCCATATGGATGCCACTTCCGGTCCCGGCCTCTCCATTTCTCACCCAGCTCTCTGCCATGACCTAGGAAAGCAGTAGAAGATAGCCCATGTCCTTGGGCGCCTTTAATCATGTGGGAAATCCGGAAAAGGTTCCTGACTCCTAGCTTTGGATCAACTCAACTCCAGTTGTTATGGCCATCTGTGGAGTGTACCAAAGGGTGAAAGAGCTCTCGCTCGCTCTCTCTCGCGTGCTCTCTCTCTCTCTGCCTCTCTGTAGCTCAGCCTTTCAAATTAATAAATAATTTTAAAAAGTGGTATCACTTGTAAGAGATATAAGTATGAAATTAATTTAAAATATTTTAAATTTTAAATGATTATAAAATGAAGGAAATCCAATTATAAAACCTATTTCTAATTCATCATCCTTATGCTTCATGGATAAAAGTAACTGCTTAAATGTAATTTACCTTAAGAACTGGGGAAGCAGATCAAATGATGTCAGTAACTTCCTACCAGGAGAATGGTCAGTGTGAATCAGAGTCAAGTCGGAGCCCATGGCTATGTCTCGCCCTAGACCCTCGGATGGCACAGCAGGCAGTTTTTGGCCTTGGAACTTCCCAGGCTTCCTTTCCCTTTCCCCTTCCCCTTACTGGGCCCTAATATGCCATTCTGATCTACACCGTTAGCATTTCTCCCACATTTTTTTTTACAAAATGTGGTAATTACATCTAGTCTCACCTTATATCTGTACCTTAGATTTTCAGTTCATTTGGAACAGGAAATATTTTAAAAACAAAAGGGGAAAATGAATACTGCTTATAATGCACATCCTTTTTCTAAGCAGAATGGATTCTGAAAAAAGGCCTTTGTTGCAAGATTATCCTTTGAGTTGTAAGGATGCAAATGAGCCTCAGAGTTGCTACTCTTGAAAAGCATTTAAGAAGGGAGGTATAAGGCTGAATCCTGGTACCTGGGTCAGAGATGAAGAAGTGTGGCCTTAAAATTGGGTATAAATTGTTTGGAGAAATGGAATAATCCTGCAGCTGCCCCTTTTGTCTCTGTCCTTGAAGTAGGCTCTAATGATGAAATGACTAAATCATCTCAGCACAACTGAACATGGCAAAGCTACTCCTACAGTACTCAAGGCTTTCAGACATATATTCTGAGGTAGACCATTTCGTTTTATGGAGAGTAAAATTAGGAAGACAGTCCGTCAAGGAGAAGAGATCACAGTAGAGGCAGGTGTCACTCATGGGCACATACAGAAAAGCTGAAACACTATATACTGTTTTTTTAAGGAATGGATGTTTTTATTTTCTGTTCCCATTAGATAAACAAAAAAGGAATAATGTGTCACAAAGTCTTTTTTTTTTTTTTTGACAGGCAGAGTGGACAGTGACAGAGAGAGACAGAGAGCAAGGTCTTCCTTTGCCATTGGTTCACCCTCCAATGGCTGCGCGGCCGGCGCACTGCAACCGGTGCACCGCACCGATCCGATGGCAGGAGCCAGGTGCTTCTCCTGGTCTCCCATGGGGTGCAGGGCCCAAGTACTTGGGCCATCCTCCACTGCACTCCCTGGCCACAGCAGAGAGCTGGCCTGGAAGAGGGGCAACCAGGACAGAATGCGGCGCCACGACCGGGACTAGAACCCGGTGTGCCGGCGCCGCAAGGCGGAGGATTAGCCTAGTGAGCCGCGGCGCCGGCCGTCACAAAGTCTTATGACAATATTCATGACTAGAAGAATTAGTAATTATGCAGAATGATTATCATAGGAGTAAGTATCTACCAACACATGTCCAGCAATTCTACTTTCACCTGAATTCAGAAAATAAAAATCTGCACTGAGAGATAAGCAGCATGTGCAAATGGATCACCCAGCTGACTCAGCTGCTTGCGATTCTATGTTCTTTAAATCAACAAAAGAAAACAATACCACTATCTTGTTCTTAAATAAGAAGAAAGATAACTGGGATTGACTGGTGAAATATTAACTTAAATCTTGCTTTTTCCCACAACTTAAGTAAATAAGCATTTAAATGAATCCAGTTATCATTATTCAAGAGTTCACCATCTTCAATTATCCATTAATGTTGATTATATCCATAACTTACAAAATACAAAAGTGTTCTACGTTTGAAAAAAATAGCCATCTCAAAGGCCAGAAACACAGTTTTAAGCCCACATAACCGTATTTAAGATCAGGACATGACATGCACCAAGTATAGATTTTTGGATTTAATTCCTTTGTAGCCCTTATTGCACAGTATCCCTATTTTTTAAAAAAGATTTATTTATTTATTTGAAAGTCAGAGTTACACAGAGAGAGGAGAGGGAGAGAGAGAGAGAGAGAGAGAGAGAGAGAGAGAGAGATCTTCCATCCGATGGTTCACTCCCCAATTGGACACAACGACCGGAGCTCCGTCGATCCGAGGCCAGGAGCCAGGAGCTTCTTCCAGGTCTCCCACGTGGGTGCAGGGGTCCAAGTTCTCGGGCCACCTTCTACTGCTATCCCAGGCCATAGCAGAGAGCTGGATGGGAAACAGAGCTGCCGGGTCTTGAACCAGCACCCATATGGGACGTCGGCGCTTCAGGCCAGGGTGTTAACCCGCTGCACCACAGCACCGGCCCCCAGTACTGCTATTTATGACTTCTCAAATGAACAAGAGCCTGTGGCAAAGAAAATGATCTATATGAAAGACCTCTATGGGCAAGAACCCAGTGGAATAAGCAGTCACCAAAGGAGGACGTACTTTCCTCTGAAGGGAGGGAAGTGCTTCCACTTTGCCTATGGCTTTGTTGAAATACTGAAGCAGTCTGTGGATCCAAAAGGTGTCCATAGCCTAGGCAGCTCTTGTCAAGAGCTTTGGGTGGTCACTGACGTCATACATCAGAGTGTTAATTGCTTACTAAACAGGAGTCACTGTGTGTTAACTTCCCATGCAGAACCTCTGTCCTCAAAGAGCTATATTATGAAACTTAATACTAAATCTTGTTCTCCAAGAATTATGATGTTCTAGTGTATTAACTGGAAGCTATTTTGTCACACAAATTCTAGTTATGTCTAAGTGCTTGCAAAAGATGTACCACTATTTTCAGGTTCCACTTTAAATATAATTAAGTTTCCAAAAAAAAGTGAAATTACCATCAAGATGCAAGGACTTTGACTAGCCTTTGTCTAGACTGTTGAGGAACAGCTTTTGCTCTTGTTTTTTGTTGCTGTTGTTGGTGGTGGTGGTTTCTTTTGATTTTTTTTTATCTATTTTTCTTTTTCTCCCTTATACAAAGAGCAGAGCTTTTTACCTAGAACAGACTTAATCTTCTGTGTATAAAGTTAAATGAAAATAGACTTTAGTAATAAACAAGACTGGGAAATGAGAGGAGAGAGGAAAGAGGAAGATGGGTGGCAGTGTGGGTGGTAGGGTGGGTACGGTGGGAAGCATTACTGTGTTCCTAAAGTTGTATTTATGAAATGTATGCAAAAATAAATAAATAAGTAAATAATAAATAAATAAATACAGGAAATCTACATGTATACTAGAGCTTCTTATTCTGATATAGCCTACCCCACACAAAAAATACCCTTACTTAATATGCTTAAGTGTTTGAAGATCTCTATTTCCTATCAGGCGTAAGGAAAACATCTCCAGTATTTCAGGTTCTATTCAAGATTGTACAGTAGGTCTCTCCAATACATTCAAGTGGTAAGAAATGTATGATTACAAGGCCAGGAATAGATGTTCTTACTCAAAGAACGTATACTACGTAAGCTGAAAATCAGAAAGGATTAAGAGAAACAATGTGCAATCAGATATTTCACAAGGTTGACTGAAAGAAAGTCAGTACACTAACATGGTATCTGTACCTTCCAAATACATCAGAACATAAAATTACAAAAAGAAACTTTATTGAGAATTTGAACTCAAGTATCCAAAGGAAGTACAACTGGCAGGAATTCAGGTTGTCTTCATTTAAACGTCAGGGTGTGCTTCACCTGTAATATGAACACAACATTTGGGGACATTAAGTTGAAGAACATTACTGAATTAACCTGAAAGACAAAACAAGCTTCGGTTTTACTAAATAGACTGAAACTGCAGGCTTGTAACAGTCACCCCTGGGGCCTGTGCTGTGACATAACACGTAAAGCTGCCACCTGCAGTGCCAACACTCCTTATGGACACACGTTCCAGTCCTGGCTGCTCCTCTTCTGATCCAACTCCTTCTTGATGCACCTGGGAAAGCAGTGGAAGACTGTACATGTCCTTGGCTCTCTGCACAGGGGAGACAGACAAGAAATACCCAGCTCCTGGATTTGGATTGATCAGCTCCACTCACTGGGGCCATTTGGGGAGTGAACCAGTGGATGGAAGTGCGTCTCTCTCTCTCTATCTCTCTCTCTCTCTCTCTCTCTCTCTTTCTCTTTCTCTAACTCTGCCTTTCAAATAAATATATAAACCTTTAAAAAAAAAACCCAGTCACCCTTTGGCTAACTATTAAATGCCTGGGAAACATAAATGAAAGATCGTCAACTATATATATATATATATATATATATATATAAAATCTTGATTGTTAAACACACTACAGTTTCTAGTAGTAAAAGGAATCCTAGAAATTGCACAAGTTCAGGACAGACAAAATCAAAGAAACCTACTAGAAGGTAGTTTTTAGTGGAAAGCAAAAACCATTTCTGTGTCTCCTAAAAAATCTCACAACCACACAAAAATATCCTAGGATATTTAGGAAAGTATTTAAAGATGTCTGATTTAAAGGTGGCTTGAAATCATTCTGATTACAAGATGGATAAAAGTTAATCTCACGTCTGCCACTGTCTAAGTGAAGTAAAGGGAAACCAGCATGGTAGCAATGGCCGAAGCTGCGCTGATCTGAAGCCAGGAATTAGGTAGGTGTTTTTTCCCAGTCTCCTATGCAGGTGCAGGGGCCCAAGGTCTTGGGCCATCTTCTACTGCTTTCCCAGGCCATAGCAGAGAGCTGGATCGGAAGTGGAGCATCCAGGACTTGAACCGGCGCCCATACAGGATGCGGGCCCTGCAGATGGTGACTTTACCTGCTACGCCACAGCACCGGCCCCTATTTTCCTTTTGTAAGGAGTCATTCATATCTCCTATTAACTACTTCCATTTGGCTTAGGTTTCATGTACTGTTTTATCGTCATGCTTTATATTTAACGGCCACTTAAAAATACCTATTCACTTAATAACTATCTTCTGTTAAATGCAGTTAGAAATCATAATATTCCCTAGATTAAATTTTAATCATCTTTAATAGCCTCCCAGCGGTAGCCTTCCAACTGTCCTATTTTCTCTACTATTTTAAAAAATTTATTAATTAATCTATAGGACAAAGGGCTGAGACACTGGGAAAGAGAAAGCAACAGAAAGACTTTTCTTTCTGTGGTACACTGCCCTAAGTCCAAAAAGGCTATTTATATGCCTGAAGCCAGGAGCCAAAAACTTTGTCCTGCTTCCCACATCGTTTGTAGAGATTAAGCACCTGTGCCATCTTCCCCTACTGTCCCAGGCTCATTAGCAGACATCTGGATTGGAAATGGATAGGCTGGAACACACCTGGCACTCTGATACAGATGGTCTGTGACTGAATGGGAGGCTAAACCCGCCATGCTACCACGTCAGAACCTCCCACAATATTGTTAAGCATCGTAGAGAATGACAGCCTTAAGAAGACCAAGGCATTGGTAACTTCGTCCCCAGACATCAAGGGCATCCTTGTATTATGTTTAGGCCTGATTTATTCATTTTTATTTTTATTAGAGAGACAGAGATGGCATGTTCTTGGTTACTGCTGTTCTCCCCCATAGCAAGCCTGGGGCAGGCCTGCATTTGGCATAGCTGAGAGCTCAGAACTCAAACCTAGTTTCCCACTAGGGTGGTAGAGAATCAACTATCGAGCCATTGCAGGCTGCTTTCTACAGTGTGCATTGTCAGGATGCTGGAATCAAGAGCGGAACATGAAGTCAAACTCAGGTACTCTGATATGGGATGTAGCTGTCTTAACTAGCATCCCAATGGACATGTCAAAAGCCAGCCACCTAAAATTCCCAAGTTTTTGTCTTCACATTACTCTCCCACCAACTGTTGTCTTAAGGCAGGAACTTGTAATGTGTACCCTGCAATACGATTGGTGTTCATGCTCCCATATGGCATTTACAGTGTTGTTAGACGTATTAACTGGAGCTGCTACCGTGCTGCCGTAGACTAAGCAGTGGTCCGGGACAACGACACCCACCATTGATGTGGGGCTTCAAGTTCCAGCTGCTCCACTTGTAATCCAGCTCTATATTGATGTGCCGGGGAGAGCAGTGGAAGATAGCCCAGGTACTGGGTCCCCTGAGGCCCATGAAGGAAACCTGGATGGAGTTTCTGGCTCCTGGTTTCCACCTTGTGCAGGCCCAGCTGCTACGGTTATCTGGGGAGTGAACCAGCAAAGAGAAGGTCTCTTTCTCTCTCTGTCTCCCTGTGCTTTCATATAAATAAATGAATCTTTTGAAAAAGAAGTGACACTGAAGATTCATAGTAGGGCAGAGATTAGGCACAGCATAGGTGTTCATTTTCAGTTACCTTCGACATCCAGGACATACAAGCACTTTACCTACTTGATCAGTGCTGAAGGAAAAAACCAGTTGACCCCTTGCCATTCTATTATTCAGTCATTCTATGCTATACTGGGAGAAGGATTTAGAATGAAATCATTCTCTGTGAGAGAATACAGAACACGACAGAATCTAAGAGCAAGCATTCAGGCAATCAAATATCAAATAACCATCATGTACTCATTTGTTGCTTTTTCCTATCCCTATTCAAGAACACCACCTTGTTGAAATAATTGTTTTTCTCTGGTTGCCTTGCCATGGCCTCATTGACCCTGATATGCTGCTTCCCTCAGTGCACTCCATCATTTATCAATACTTGTAAAGACTGTTATTCCCACTTCCAACAATCATATTACTGACAATTATATATAAATAAAAAGGGGGGATGCAGAATGCAGAGAACAAAAATTCTGCCAAAGCACTCTCAGGTGAGAACACATTTCTTCTGAGCACATAGTGTGGCAGCAGAATGTAAAAGGAAACATTTCTGCCAAAATCGTATGCCTAATAAACACGTATTAAACAAGAAAAGGGAGAAATGTGGAGAATAAGATTTCTGCGAATGCACTCCTAGTGAAGATATTTTATTCCTAGAACACAGAGTGTGACTGCAGGGACTGATTAAGGATAGTTTATGACCTACTAACGAGAAGGGCACTGAGCCCTTGTGGGAATGCTGGCTTCACAAGGACATGCAGCTGCTTTCCCAGATATGCTAGTGTAGTATGTCCTGCTAAAGCTGTTTCAGAGAAACCTTAGAGTGATATGAACACGTGCATGCACTCTACAAGAGGCTGTCGCAATCCTTGTCAATAAAGAGAACACGCTGGGTTAGCCTTTTTGGAGGAAAAGTTCCAGCGTGCTGTCTCTCCTTTCACTTGCATAACCCAACTATCATTGTTCCTGCAGTAATGCAACGTAAAGTTGGATTTAAAATCTGACCCGAGGCTTACTTTATAGAAAGCACATTTTTCTTGGTATTTCCTCCCAAAACTAGAGAATCAAATAATTCTGCTGTTAAAATCATTTTTAAACAAAATCAAACAAAAACGGGTACAGTACTGTGGCATAGCAGGCAATGCTGCCGCTGGTCATGCAAGCATCCCATATGGGTAGCATATCAAGTCACGGCTGTTCCACGTCCAATCCAGCTCTCTGCTATGGCCTGGGAAAGCAATGTAAGATGGCCCGAGTCCTTGGGCCCCTGCACCATGTAGGAGACCCGGACGAGTGTCAGCCTCCTGGCTTTGGATTGGCTGAGCTCCGGCCTTTACAGCCATTTATCTCTCTATCTCCACCCCATCTTTCTCTGCCTCTGCCTCACTGTAAGATTGCCTTTCAAATGAAGAAACAGATATTGAAAAAAAAAAAAACAAAAATGGATCAAAGATTTAACTGTAAGACATGAAAGTATGAAATAACTAGAATGCAAAATACAGTCATAGGTGGAAAAATTCTGGACTGAAGAATGGCATGCTGCATACGGCTATGGAGAACAATGGAGAAAACAGTGTAGAAGGTACACTTTCGGCAGAGAATTGGAGAGAGAACTGCTCCGAATCCCCCCACGGAAGGGGAGGAATCTTTGTGAACCTGCCTGGTGAATGCTGACGCACAGCCAGAGAGCACGGAGAGTCAGGCACATTTTTCATGGCATGGGTCCAGACTGGAGCCTTTGGGCTGGCTGTTGCTGGTGGTCACCTATGGTCTTAGTCAAAGTGAAGGGGGATGATTGATTCAAACCAATCTCTCCACAACAGAACCCTTGATCGGGCTGAGAGAGGACGGGCACCATTTTAAAAAAGGGAAAAACTAGGGAAGCCTGCAAGCGTGCACAAAGCAGCTCACTGAGACCGGGCACCTGAATGCAGCGCTGGCAGCGTTCGCCCAGTGACTCTAGTGTGCAGGTGTGATCCACAGCTTCAGTGCAGAAAATGGCCCTCAGCATCCCCAAGGCTTAGTCAGAAAATCAAAAGAAAATCAAACAAAAAGTCAGAGCTCGGCTGGGAAGTGGTAGGGCAGCTACAAGGGAAAGAGGTGGGCCCGTGCCAACCATACCCTTTGCACTTGACCACTGTGGGAGCCATATGTGCTGAGTCCTTGAGGTTTGGGCGGCTACATGAAAGGGAGTAGGGTGTAGCTGGGTATTGATTTCAACCACCGCCATCTTGGGTATTACCCTGCAAACTTGCCCCAACTTACCACATTCAAAAGAGCCCCCTGGCCACACCCACCACACACCTCCCAGTATTCATTGAAATGGTAGATATTCCACAAAGCCACAGTAGCATTACCCAAAAGATAAAAGCCAACAGAAGAAAAAACTTAGAAATCAACTACACAATGCTGAAATATCAGAG